TTCTCTGTTGATCATTATTGCCAAATGAATTTTCAGACGCGAACTGGTTCAACAAGTTTACCAGTTTTCGCCAAATAAAGCAATTCCTGTATTTTATATTGCACCATTGCTCGCGTATGGGACTCTCTGACATGTGCCAGCTGCAATCCAATACTCTCCCCGAATACCAGACACTCACGCATTTCAGACGGCGCTAAACCAATAGGTATAGCTTGCAAAGGATCGGATTGAACCATAGTTATTGGCGTTTGGTTCAGCGGTGGTACAACAGTTGGTGGCATTTGTGGTTGTGTTGTCGACGCATGCATCACTGGTGGAATTGGCAATGTTGAGGCGGAGGATATGATTGGCCCGTTATGTACGGTAGCCAAAGGAGTTTCGATTTGTGGGTCTGGCCCTACAGCTACGTCATCGATATTGATACTCGGTATTGCAGCACGCCTACGTTGCGGACGGTCAGCAGTATCGGACTTTCCATTGAACATTGGTGGCTGTTAAGAGAAAAATATTTATATGACATATGTATGCATATATATGTATAGTTTATAGGTTTCTTACTTCCTCTTTTGACGCCGCGTATGAGAAGCTTCCCTTAAAGTTATCAGTTAAATTTGTTGTTTCTTGCTCAGCAGGATTGATCGCTTCGGTTTTTACAGGTGTTGTTGCTGTTGTAACACCATATAAATTTCCTATTGACCTTGAGGCATTCAAAGCACATCTTCTACTGCGCTTTCTGCTGATGACGGGTGCAGGTTTCATCTGAAAAACAAATATGAAAACACCTTTTTATAGTCATCTTTAACATTTTAAGGCTACTTACATTTGACATGGAATCTATATCTTCCAATACTTTCGGGGGGTCAGCTACTGATTCAGCTGTCGAGAGTTCCGAGTCTATTTCATTGGCTACTAACCATGCCTCATCTTCGTTTCCCGCTTCGCACACTGACTCACATAATAATGATGGCACAACACGATCTTGTCCTACTTGGGCTGCTTCCAGGTCATCACCCGCTGTCAGTGCCTCCTTAAAGAGCTCATAATATTCCCAAGCTATTAGTGACTGCAATCCACTATCTTCCTTTAATCGGTTCTTTTTATATGTTTGCAGCATGTTGCGATATTTAAGATCGCAAGCCTCTGCTGTTAATGAAGAATCGCATAATCCTTGCCGCCTCATCTCAGTAGCGATTTCAGACCAAAGTTCTTTTTTCTGGCGTAGGCGTTGTTGAAATTCTAGTTGCCTTTCGAAACGCATCTGTAACATTAATCGCGTGCATTCCGGTGTCCATCGCGTTTGAGCTTGTGGTGACTGCAGTTCACCATTTTCGTTGCTTTTATTGCATTCCGCACCTTCATTATCACCATTTTCAACAGCAAGCAAAGCACCTTCGGCCTCTTCTGTTTCTGGCTCGATTTTGCAGCGCTTCGGTTCCATTCTGCTAAATACTTCTGTTAAAATTTGTCGATGTTTTTAAGAATACCCTTTTGATGGATTACGATTTTTTACACCAGCTATCAACGCCAAAGAAGAAAATCGCAACAAAATCTGGTTTTCTTCTTTCCTTTTCGTTGACGATGCCAAACAAAACCACAAAATAACAACACCAACAACACCAGCATCAGCAACCAGGAACCACCACTAATCGCAATCGCATTCAACTGTGATGCCACCATTTTGGTGAAACTGTCAGTTACTGCAACAGCAAAAAACCTAAAATCAGCACCAACTTGATGCAAAATCCGCATCACGCAACTTTTTGACGCAGCAGCAGATAGCAGACCCAATACAAAAAAAATAACTATATAAAAAAATGTAAACACGAAAGCAAGATGACAACAAACGAGAAATTGAAATGCACATAAACCCAGCAGTAAAACTACTGAAAAATGCATAAGAAAATACCTTACAGTCAACTACAAAAGTCTACGTACAGAGTTTTCCACAAGGTATTAAAAGTTTTTTTTTTTTTTAATTTCTATCGCTAAATAAAAAAACATGCACTTTGAGAAAACCTCTCGTAAATTTAATAATAATAATAATAGATTGGTGCTTAAACAATTGGCGCGTCAAGCGCCAGCAACTGTCAAAAATCCACATGCCATAAAATTTGTTTGAAGCAACCCACAATAACGTGGCGCTAGCGCCGAGTAAATGGAATTTTCTTTTTTGACAGGGCGTTACGTGTTGATGTTGGATGCAGAAGACGGAAAGAAAGAGAAAGGACAAAAAAGTGAAAGAGGAAACGAGAATAAAAACGAGAATAAAAACGAGAGGATTTGAAAAAACGTCAAAAATTACGCCGCGTTGATTTGGGGATAGCGCGCTGACACTCGTGGGCAATGGAAAACGCAACGCTTAGCGCTTCAATGTAGGGACTGCAGTTAGGCTTGGCCGATCTTCTCCTCCGATTTGTGGCGTGCGCCTTGATGTTGTCACACAAAGGGTAGTCACCTAACCCTCTCCCCTACAAAATCCTCGGCTACCCTTTTCACCACCTGGACGAGGGTGGTCAGACTGCAGCTGGGTATTCACGTCGATGACGAACCAATTCCGATGGTGAATAACCGGCAAATCCTCGGAGTAACGTTCGACAGTCTGTTCTCCTTTTTCGCGCACGCAACCACAATTGTCGGCAAAGTGCAGATCCGCAACAAGGTCCTCAAGTCGCTAAACGGCAGCACCTGGGGCAAAGGCAAAGAAACGTTGCTGGCAACATACAAGGCAATTGGCCGACCGGTTCTAAACTACGCAGCGCCAGTGTGGTCGCCGGGAACCAGTATGACGCTGTGGATAAAGCTACAGACTTGTCAGAACGTCGCACTCCGTACAGCGACAGGGTGCTTTCTGATGTCGCCTGAGCACCACCTACACATCGAGGCCCAAATGCTCTTCGTAAGGAAGCACAAAGTGAACACCCTAACAGACCCCTGCTAGAGGAGGAGCCTCCGTCCAGGCACGTTAGGGGGCACCGACGACGTACGGACGAGCGATCAAGGAAATTCATAGGGAGTTGGTCCCACCTACCACGACTCCCGGCCTATGAATGCCGTGATCGGAGCCCAATCACCACCTGTGGCAGAAACGGAGCTTCAACTGTCAAGAGAGACCCGCGTTATCCTGGCCCAGTTACGGTCTGGATACTCTAGTCGCCTCAACAGCTACCTGGGGTCCAGACTCGACCCCAATATCCCAAATGGGTTTCCGGCATGTGGAGACTTCCCGCCCGGCACCAACTACCTCTTTATATGCTAGCTCAATCCCACTCAGCTAACATTCCTTTCCCTCTTGGGGAAGAGGTGGCTCCTAGGGAACCATTGGAAAATGAGGAAAAATAACAATTTACTGATGTTAACTGAGCTGTTTGAGCTGAAATATTTATAACCAAACTAACTGAAACCGTTGAAGTTTCTGTAGGTGAACGTAATTGGGCCAGAGTAGCGCGAGTCTCTCGTGGTTGTCGAAGCTCAGATTTTGCAATACATGGAGATTGGGCTCCGACAAGGGTACTGATAGGTAGAATGAATGAATGCCGTCGACTACTCCTCGATACGCCGTCGAGTCCAGTGATTGATCGATGTACGTATGGACCCCGTTCATGTACCTGAAAAGATGCCTTCTGAGAAGCTCCTCCTCAAATAGGGGTCTGTTGGTGCGCTCTCGCCTGTGACATCCCACCATAAACTGCATTTTGCTATGCTCCCTTATGGAAGCATTTAGGCCTCACTGTGCAGGTGGTGCTCAGGAGACATCAGAAGATATCCTGTCGATGTCTGGAGTGCGGCGTTCTGGCAAGTCTGCAGCTTAGTCCAATGCGTCCAACTAGTCCCCGACGAACAAACAGGTGCAGCATATTTCAGAACCGGCCTGCCAAATGCCTTGTCTGTTGCCAGCAACAGACCCATAGGATCTGTAGCATTAAGCGCGGTAGCAGTTTGGTAAGCTAAATTTTTAGCCGGACCTGTCAGGAGGATGGCACTCTGAAAGCGCTTAAAGCTTGTGAAATTATCTACTGTGTACCTAGTGGAGTATGATAATTTCTAGCCCATCTTCCGTGCTTACCTATATAGTCAGAGAACCTTTATAAATTTAAATTTATAAACGTTCTCTGTTCTCGTGTGAAAGTTGCTCTCTTGACCTCTGAACTGAGCATAGGGGTCTGTGCTTCTTGGTGGAATGTTTGGGGCTCTATGGTTTCATTTCTCTATTGAGATACCTCTCTTAGTCGAAGAGAATCTCGGCCTTGAGGTGAATCCCTGTGTCAAAGGCGCTTCACCATACAAAAGGACACGTCTAATGAGTGATGAGTAAGCAGGATGACTTTACCCGAGTTTGCTCTTGGCCGGGGCCTTCTTGACACGTCATGAAAAGTTCTCTATGTCAGATCGAAGAGAATCTTCTTCGTCAACATAAGCCCCGAGTAATGAGTTAAATTTGTATTCCATAGCAGTGGAGGACAACGTTTTCTTGAGGTGTGCTTTTGAAATCTCTGATTACCACAAGTAAGCCTTCACAACCTTGCATTTAAAAATTTCACTAGGGTGTCGTCCATCGCATAAAATTCATAGCGTCGGTTATGGAATCTATTTTATATAATTTTTCAAAAAAAAAAAGTTTTGAGTAGGTTTTATATGATCAAAAGCACGATCCAGGTTCCTACGGCATCATACTTGATCAACTGCATAGGTCTACGATGCCAACACTTCGCTGATTTATTCCTACTTATGTGTGCTGTTTTTGAAAGCGCTTTATTCCGAAACCTCGCAGTGTGTATTCAGCGTTTCAGACCAATCAGTGCCTCTTCGTTTTTGTTAACGAGGCAGCATACCCAGAGAATATTTGACTTCAAATCAGCATGCCTTCTGCAAGGGCAAATCAATAGAATCAGCTTTACACACTTTTGTAGAGAGCATTAAGCAGTCTTTCTCGCCAGAGGACTACGCAATTGGTTCCTCCCTTGATATTGAGTGGAGTTTCAATAACTGCTTGTCAGGACGTCAAGCCCGACTTCGATAGCACTTTTTGGGTCGTTGTCTTCTACGATATGATGGATGCTTTGAAGACAAGCAATTGTCTGGTGCTGAAGACATCGTACGATACTCGGCTAAAAACTGTGCTGCCAGCTGCATTTTAAGTGAAACCATAATTCAACCAATTTTGCTGTATTGTACCCCTCTTTGATGGAGCGCACTAGAAAATGCCACCAACGTTAAGTAGTTGCAAAGATCTGCCTTAAGCGGAATCACTTCTAATCCGACCCGAATCGACCAAAGTCGATACTCCGCAACCCATATTCTCAATAAAATATTGGGCGTGGTGTAGTATTTGCATTTCTTTACGGATGCATGAAGTTGGAAAAAGGTAGGTAGATGTGTCTTCTGCAAAGAACTCTCCATTAACCTTAAGCTGCGTTTTCCAAGCGGAAGTAGCCGCTAGAAAGGAAATAAAGGGTTGACTTCTCTTTAGATTGCATCAGATTACTTGGCTCTGGGGCCAATATGAGTTGGAGGGCACAGCGTTGCCGCAGGTAACATGGCATGGCCGCTAAGTTAGTAGGACAGCACTCTCTTGGGTAGTTGTCGTCGAGTAGGGAGAGATTTGGGAAGAGTTGCTTGTGAATTTTTCATTATTTAGCTAAGCGAACGCAGGATGACAAGGTGGCTAGGTTCTTTTTGCCATAGATAGCCCGGCGACGGATAAGAGAGCACTTAAGACTAAATGTAAATAACTCACATCTCTTTTTACTGGTGGGAGTTCTAACTGGCGTTTTTTTTAGCGCAAGCCCTCAGTATTCACCTTTCAATTGACACTTTCTCTTATACATATGTATGAATGTATTCATATACGAATATAGGTATATACATATGTAGGTATGTCCGAAGATATGAACTGAATTAATTGTATGGCTATACCTAAAATAGTCGCATAAATACCTCAACCTTGCCTTTGCTACGCACCAATAGTTAGCAGCAGTTAATGGCTTTTGCCATGCGTAGATTTGCAATCTGAAGATCAATGCTGGAAGAGCAATCAAAGTGGCAACTAGAATGGGTTCTCTGTTTTGTTTTGGCCCAGAGTAGAAACAATTTATTTCGCTGAAAAAAATCCCCCTCTTTGGATACAGACATATGAATGTAGGCGTTTATATGTGTGTATGTATGTCGATATTTAAGTAACAAGTGGACATTCTCGTGCTCAAGCAGATGAATTGATACCCATACATATATACATGCCACATACATTTATACAGTAACTCAAACAAGTGTTCATATGTTGATTTTTTTTTTTTATATATTCATAATGATTTCGAGTTAAATTTAACCAAATTCAAACAAAGTTTCAAATTTTATAAAAAAATTTCGGAAAATTCAACAAATTTGTATGAAAATTTTGAACTGTTTAACAGCAATTTTTAGCAAATTTTTGGATATGCCATTTTATCGCCCAATCAAATTTAAACTAAAATGCAAGTTTCAAGTGGCCAAAAAATATGTTTTTTTTTGATGACGGCTTCAGCTGTTGTTTTCATATAATAAGTGCAATTTATATAAAATAACGTTGGTTTTTTGAAATTTTTTTGTGAACGGTCTTGCGCATTTTATTCCATACGAAATTCATGAAAATTATTAAAAATTTACGCGATTTCGTAGTTGTTGGAAACCTTCCAATTTTTTTTTTTTTTTTTTTTTTATTTCTATCAAACAATTAGTTAAGTTTTTCGCAATTTTGTATAAAGTTTAAGACTCTTGGTTTTATTCATAAAAAATAAAGTTGGTGTAAAGAGGTTTATAAAATGACGTTTTCATACATTTTGCAGTTTATAAATCTTTTTTTAAAACTACTTTATTTTTTATGAAATTTTGATTGAAAAAAGCAAAATATTAAAAAACATTGGCCCGTATGCATAAAACCGAAGCAAATGCTTTTTCTTAAAATTTCAGACCCTTTACTCGATTTGTTCAAATAAGCAATTGCTTAGTTTTTATGCATACGGCCCATTGTGTTAAAAAAAGAGTCAATATGTGTGAACACTTGTTTGAGTCACTGTTTGTGCGTTTGTATGTACAAATGCACATACATGTGCATGCCTAAAACTGCATCTTCTTCCGCCAATTTGATTTCTGTTTCTGATCATCCTCATTTTCGTACATTCCAGAATACATGAATGGTTGCGAAAGATGCCAATTTCCTATAAAAGATGCGTCGGTTTATGGTCAAGTTCAGTTCCGATTGCAATTTAGAAGTAAACAAATCGTATTGTAAATATTTTTGAACGCTACTGCCAAACAAAAAAGTTCAGCGACGCGAAGGTGTTAATTTTTCCCAAGAGCTTAGTGCTAATTCTAAAGTAAACAATTCCAACCAAAAAAACATGGCGATGCACACTGTAAAGGTACGCTCGCGTCAATGCACCCAAAACAAATACATATGTACGCATTCTGTTGTGCTCTAATTAATATTTGATTTATGTATTTGTACTTGATATGCGCAGCACTTTTTGATGTTTGCAATTATGCTGCTTTTGCTGAAAAACTGCCGAGTAAATGGATATCCTCAAGCAGCCAAGGCCACAGCGCGGGCCAGCGCTGATGCGGTGGTACGTTGGGATTTCATGCAACAAAGCAAATCAAAAGTGCTTAGGTTATTTCTTACATTTTTATTTGCGAATTTAGCAATCTATTGGAGATGGTGCAGGCGCTGTTGCCGTGGCATCTTCCGAAGCCGACACTGATCTTAAGGGTTCGGAAACCTTTGGATTTGGTTATTATCCGGGCATCTATGGCGGTGGCCTATATGAAGGACGTGGATTGGGCTACGGCGGCTATGGCTATGGCGGGCGTTGGGGCTATGGCGGCTATCATGGATATAGTGGATATGGAGGTTATGGTGGTTATGGTGACGGTTTATATCGCCGTTCCATCTATCCAGTGTGGGGCTAAGACTATGTGACTATGAAAAAATATTCTTATATAGGCTTCATTTCACAAGGGGATTTAAAAGACATTTAACATGTTCAACGAAAAATAACGTTTAAAATGATTTTAGGATATTTTTAACTACACCGAAACACTTTTGAACGAATAGAAAATATATATGTAAAATTAGTTCATATACATAATTAGCATCACACACTGCATATCCTCATTTTAACCGCTATTTTACATTAAAAAATTCGAAACTTCAAGAAATTACGACGGCTCACACGTCTTGTTAGTCTCCTAATTATGTATTCCATATCGAAATAAATAAATTTTTATTAAAACTGCAAACAGTGCTGTCTCAGAGATTCTATTAATAGGTTTACTTTTACATTTTCGGGCTAGTTTCAGGCAAATGAGTTTAAGTACGAAATGCTCTCACAAAAGTGAATAAACTGCCCAAAAGCACGGCAACGCAAAAACCCATTTTCGTACCCGAAATTAATCACACAAAATTTTTAAAATTAAGATGAACGTTCACTTGATGTTAACACGTATCAATCAAAGAAAAACAGCTGGATATTCCACATATTTATTGGTTAGAACTTTAATGTTTGAAATTCTTCGTTTTAGAACGAAGTTAATCAGAACAAATTGTTAGTAATTTTCATTAGAGTCTGAGTGCCTAATTTCTTTAACTAAATATTTGGCCTTTAGCAACTTTAGCGAAAGCTTGACTTATTCCATTTTATTCATTTTAGTGCAGTTTTAACAAAATTTTCTTGCTAGAAATCTTTTGTTACATTATTTTATTTCATTCCTTTGATTGTACATGTTAAATAAATGCTTGATTTTAAAAAATATTTTTTTTTTTACATTGTTTTATTTTGAACTTTTTAGTTTTATTCTATGCTAGCAGACCCGGCTAACTTCGTCCATCCCAAAATTAAAAGCATAATCAGTTGTGGCTTTGCAAAAAATAAAAGAGTTTTTTCTAGAAGGCAACATAGTTTTTCCATACACCCAAAGTGCTTCTGATCCAAATTATTATTTGGAATTTAAGGGTAACATTGAACCGGTAAGCATACAGCACTTGCCGATAAAGTATTTAAATGTGATAAATAAAATATTATCTGAATTCAATAGTTTTTTCTTTCTTAAAATTTAGTAATTTCTATTATTGGGTCAAAATGACACAAAACATTATAGGACGGGGTAAATTCCAAACACTGCAGAAGGGTTAAAGGGGTTATGTGAAAAATTCCACGCCTATATTATGTGCCACGCCCCCATTTACAAACCCTTTTATATATACCTTACTATAAGCATCTGCCATAGATATCTCTGCATACCAAATTTGATCTGATTACAAATTTGCAATCCTAAAATTGCAAAATTTAAAACCACACCTATAAGCTTCGGCGATTCTGTTCAAAAGTGATAGGGTAATAAACAAACAGACATTCACATTTATACATATATGTATATAGATAACCCGGACATAAAATTTTTATTTAGGGCTCACTCTTCATTTATAGTAGGGTAGCCCATGATGCTAAATCGTGATTTTCTCGAGCGCCATTTTGACCTATTGGATTTTGAAGATTATATGATTGGAAGAAAAAGAGGTCTGTAATGTTTCTCCTTCCAGCGGCGGGTGGAGGATCCACTGGCTTCCAAATATGTAAAAAAAACATAGTGAATAAATCAAACATGTTTCTGATGACGGAGATACATATGCTAATCTGCCGGCTTGTATGGTGGGGGTGGGCGTACGGAACAGACAAGAATGGGTGAAAAAAATTTACTCGAGCGCGTCAGATAGTCACAAGGGATGTTAAGTTGGCCCGAATGAAGTTCCCATTCAATAATCTGTTGGTCTTGGCGAGATATATCAAACGGCTGAAAATGTTTAAATTCGAACAATAACCACGCTTACGTCCATATAACGGTAATTTAGAGAAATACGAAATCATCGATAAATCGATACATACCGAAGGTAATGTATTGAAAATTAATGTTTGCAATAATTCTTTAGCAAAAAATACGTTTATGTTCAAATTCTGTGAAATGGGCATGGTCCCGCCCACTTATGACCACATATTTGTATCTCGGTAACCGTTTAATCAATTTGTACCAAACTCGGTGCGATTATTGTACTTTCCACATAAAAGCAAATCGTTGAAAATTATATTTGAATCGGACCAAAATTGCCCCCATTTTTCATATAACGGTAAATTTCAGAAATGCTTAAAACTTTTATATCTCGAAACTTAAGGACTCTAATTTACTCAAAATTGATACTAACAACAATTCCTTGAAAAGAAGTAACATTATTAAGGAATTTTGGCAAATGGGCGTCATAACCGCCCATATACAACTTATAAGTTTATCTCATTATGTCTAACTGAACGTTCTATTGAAGATGTTTGAAACAGGGGTAAAACCACCCCTGCTTATCTCGGTAGTTTTCGGAAAGGTGGAAAAACTGTTTTGAATACTTGCGCCGGGTGTTCGACTCCGCCCGAACTTAGACTTCTTTACTTGTTCGGTCATGACTTCATACCAAGATAATTATTTTGACTATACAAAAACTATATAAAATAAACCCGGTTTATCCGGGTTTTTATTAATTTCAAAATCGGCAACCGGTTTTTATCAAATTGCAATTTTTGGAAAAACTCGCAAAATCGGTTTTGGAAAAAAGGCGAATAATCGAATACCCTAATGTAAACCTCTCTCACCTCTCTTTCCCTATTCTTTCTTAATACTTTCTCTAGACCTAACTAACATTAACAATGAAGAGGTAAGATATGCAGGTATTCGTGTACATACTTATCTACATATTTCACGTCTAACGTAATTCGAACCAGGGATCTTCTCAAAGCTAACATATAATAGCAAGCACCACTGTACACCCAGAATTTCATACAATCATTAAAAAAAATTGTATGTAAAATTTATTAAAGAACTACTTTTCTTGTTAAAAAATTTCAAAACGCCAACATGGAAAAACCGAAAAAGACTTTGAAAAAATCATATTTCTTGTTTGTTAGTGTAATAAAATCTATTTTTGAATAATTAAAGGGAAGTGTAGATTTAATAATAAAAGGCTAAAGATCAAATTGCCTGATTTGCCTCAAACTTTATCATTAGACAACGGGCAACATTCGCGACTAAATTTCATCACGTCCAATCAGTCGCTTTCAATAGCAAAAAAAATTTAGGTAAACCCAGCTTATCACTATAGACTTGACTATAGCCACCGTTATCATTATAAACAAACAATATTTTGGGGTTTTTAAACATAAACAACCCACACACGTATAGAGTTGTTTTGAAAGCACAAAATATATTTTTAATGTTTAATTTGCAAAATTGTTATACCCAATGCATGAAGCGATAGCAGTATTTATGTATTATTACACTGCATCACTAAAAAAAGCTGCGGTTTTTCCGCCGGGATTACAAAATCTACTATATTTGAAGACGTCTACCAAAATATTTCCGAAAAATATTATGCATGAAAATATTCAAAAATCGGTACAACGGAATCGTAATAACAAGATTTTTGATGCCGTGTTTTAACCTTTTTCAAAGATTTATTTACGAAAAACTTTAATACTTGAGCCAAAACTATTCTGAGTTAGACTTATGGAGTATTAGTAGAAAGGTAAATACCTTCACTCTTTTTCATTTCTGTGCAAAAAAACTCATTCACTTCCCATTTTTTATTTATTTTTTTTTTTTTTTTCAAATACCAACACATCTTAATTCAACTTGGAATGACGCTCGTTCATCCTACCGTTATCTTTCAGCCTTTGAATGATTTTATTAACAAAAAAATGAAAAGAGTGAGAAAATACCTTTCTAATGATACCCCACAAGTTAAAAAGCAGCATCAAAAATCCCATTATTACGATTCCGTTGGAAATTTTTTTAATTTTTTTTTTTTTATATTCTTTTGCAAATTTTTTAAACCTAAACCGTTTTGTCATTTGAGGGGATTTTTTTTTTTTTTTTGAATCTTTAAGAAACTATTTTGATTCATAAAAAACTCATTTTTGGAGGTATTTTTCAAATCAATCCAGCTCACGTAAGTTTTAATATTTTTCAGAAATATTTTGGTGGAAGTCTTAAAATATAATAGATTTTATAATTCCAATGGAAACGCAGTTCCGGATTTTTTTTTTTTTTTATGGGGAGTGATGCAGTCCAATGTTCATATATAGACATAGGCAGTATTGTGGCCCTATTTTTTTTGTAAGAAAGCTTAGATTTTATTGAGATATCATAACAGTGGTTTTGTGTAATAGCGATAGAATGCATCCTCTAGGAATGTATTTTTTTAGGTCTGAAACATCTGATGTTTAAGTGGCGATGGTTGTATATTAGAGTGGTTCACAATAAAAAGTGTTAAAATGTTAAGCTTTTACCCCATAATAATAATAGACTGGCGCTTAAACAATGGGTCGTATGCATTAAACCTAAGCACATTGCTAACCACTGCACCACAGCAGCCGCTCTCACCCCATAAATTGAGGTGTTAAAATTTTTGTTCGATTTTTAAACAGCGGAATCGTGTTTCTCGTCTCAAAATCTATAATATTAGTGTAATAAAACATACGATTTTTTTTTTTTGAACAAGTCCGGGGGATTTTGCATGTTTTATTCGAAGAACGCAATTTTTGACCGATTGTTTTAAGGTCAAGGAGTAGTTGTGGGTCAATGGCAGTATTTTTCCGTGAAAGAGAATAATATTAGCTTTCAAAACTATTTTGTTTCATATCAAAATATTGCTTCTGTCGAAAGCGCTACGATTAATTGGCATGAAGTGTTAAAAAAGCACACTGTGTGCCGTCGAGTTAGCTCGAATATTTTATTTTTCAATCGAGAAATGTAATTTTGAAATTTTAAAATTACAACAGTGTATTTTTGTCAGAAACATATGATTTATAAAAATATAATTTATTTATATACAATATATAATATAATATAATAAAATGACTATCATACTTGGGCGTACAAAATTTTTGATTCTTATTTCCCCCCCAAAAATCAAGCTTTGAAATTCTGTATACAGGAATTGATAAGAAATGAATTTAGTAGGTATGTATTTTTTATAGAACACTTAAAGAAAAAATTCACCAAAATTTAAAATTTTTTCTCAGAAGTATTTTTTGAGTATACAATTTTATAGCCCATTCAATTTTAGTGTAATAATGTGCAAGTTTCAAGTGCCGTTAATTTTTTATAATTTTTTTCCGAAGGTGTGTACCGCGCCTACTGAATTTCAAAATATGTAAATATTTTGAGGAATTTTAAAAGAGCACTTAAATAGGGAAAACTATAG